AATATTATGCAGCAATCAGAAATGATGAGTTCGTGTCGTTTGTAGGGACATGGATGAATCTGGAAAACATCATCCTCAGCAAACTGACACAAGAACAGAAAATGAAACACCGCATATTCTCACTCATAGGTGGGTGATGAAAAATGAGAACACATGGACACAGAAAGGGGAGTACTAAACACTGGGGTCTATTGGGGGGAAAAGGGGAGGGCCAGTGGGAGGGGGAGGTGGGGAGGGATAGCCTGGGGAGAAATGCCAAATGTGGGTGAAGGGGAGAAGAAAAGCAAAGCACACTGCCATGTGTGTACCTACGCAACTGTCTTGCATGCTCTGCTCATGTAACCCAAAACCTATAATCCAATAAAAAATTAAAAAAAAAAAAAAAAAAAAAAAAAAAAAAAAAACAACCAAAGCAGTGCCCTGCAAAAACTGGAGGAAGTGTCTGTCTCTTCAAATGCACAGACATCGACATAAATATGCAAATATTATAAAAACCAAGGGAAACATGACACCACCAAAAGAAATCAACAGAACCTCAACAATGAACCCTGAACAATTAAAGATCATGTCTGACAGAGAATTCAGCATAAGCTTCTTAAAGAAGTTCAAGAAATTACAGGTCAGAACAAAGATCTCCGAGGAAATCAGGACTTAACAATAAAATTAAAGAAAGTAAAATGTTAAAAAAGAAATTATAGAAAACAGAAAACAATAAGGGAAACAATTCAGGAATAATATAAAAAATTGGAAAGAGAAAAACAATTTTTAAAAATAGGAATCCTAGAAATAAATAATACAAAAACTGAATTTAAAAACTCATTAGAAATTTTTAAGAATGGTTTTTATGAAACAGAGAAAAGAATCAGCAAGCTTGAAGACAGAACATATGAAACTATGTTATCAGGAAAGTTTTTTTGAAAAGTAAAGAAAGCCTATGAAAACTATGGGACACAATCAAGTAAATTAACTTCTGCATAATTAAAACATCCGAATAAAATGAGAGGTAAAAAGGCCTAGAAACTATATTTATTGAAATAATAACTGAAAATCTCTCAGTTCTGGAGAAACACAATAGCATCTAGGTAGAAAAGCCCATAGCTCACAAATCAAGTTCAATAAAAACAGTGATATCTCAGTGTACTTTATAATTAAATGAAGAAAAGTCAAAGACAAATAAATAATACTCAAATCAGCAAGATAAAAGAATATCACATTTAATAGAGCCTGATATGGTTTGGCTCTGTGTCTCCACCCAAATTTTATCTAAATTTGTAATGTCCCAGTGATGGAGGTGGGACCTCGTGGTAAGTGATTGAATCATGGGGGTGATTTCTAATGGTTTAGCACCACCATGTTGCCTTGTGTCAGAGTTCTCACAATACATGTTTGTTTAAAAGTGTATGGCACTTCCACTTTTGCTCTTCGTTTCTCCTCGTGCCACCTGCTTGCTTCCCTTTTGCCTTCCACCATGATTGTTATTTTTGGGGCTTTCCCAACCATGCTTCCTGTACAGCCTGAGGAACTGTGAATCTATTACACCTCTATTCTTCATAAATTACTCAGTCTCAGTTAGATCCTTATAGCAATGTGAGAATAGACTAATACATAAAATTGGCACCAGAGAAGTGGGGCACTGCTATAGATACTTGAAAATGTGGAATCAACTTTGTAATTGGAAGAGATTGGAGGGTTCAGAAGAAGACAGGAAGATGGGGAAAGTTATTCCTTGTCATAAACAGGTTCTTAATAAATTTTACTTCTTTATATTTGTCTGTACCTGATAATTAATTAATGTGAATATGTGTGCTTTTATACTGGGGAAAACATATTAATAAAATGCAGTCTAAGTAGTATATAGGTCTCCTGTATATCAACATTCTCTTCCTTTGCATGAACATCAAGACAATTTTAATTATCATGCACATAAATGACCACAGTAGCCTGAACTGTCAGGGAAAATTCACATTAGCTGTTGTTAGGATACACATCACTATCACATAATAACCACTATTTCATCTATACAAATATTCTTACTTAATTCATAGTCTCCAATATTCTACCCAGCATTTGAAGTGTGTTGAAGAATGGCTTAAAAACCACCACAGTATGAATTAGAAAGAGAGAGAATTTGGAACAAGAAATCTGCTTTTGTGCCACTGAGCAGCCAAATGTCACTGGGCAAGTCATTTCATCTCTCTGTGCCTAAGACTCCAAATATTGTAAATGAAGATAATAATTCTCTTACTATGTCATTTGTGAAGATTTTAAAAAAGAAAACAGTAATTCTAAAATTAGCAACACACTGATTACATCAATCATTATTATTTTTTAGTCATGTCCATTTATGTTCTATTGCCAAAGAATATCTGAGGTAACTTTTACCCAAAGGCTTGCACATTGAAAACATTAAATTACAAATAGAAGTAAATAAATATTTTTAAAAGAAATTACAAACAGGTCAAGCATTTGGATTACAAAGGTGTCAAAGTTTAAGTTTGGTTTCTGCAAGCCACAACAATTCTCATAACTAGAAAACAAAAGGAAGTGTACAGTTATTTATGCAAAATGTAGAGTGTATTGGCACTAATTTTAAAATCCAGTTTTCAAATAGGGTATTAGACCACTCTGCTTTCCAGAAATTTAATGCAATGTTTTGCCTAACCAAAAGAGGAAGATAAAAGAATAACATAAAGAACTATCCTATAGATTAAATGATGCTGTCATAAGATAAAGAAATATCCCACAGATGAAATGATGCTGGTCCTCAAAAAGGAAGTGAGGACCCTGTGTCACAATTCCCAGCTTTTCTGCTTCACTGTTGTCCCTTCAGATCACCTTCTCCTGTCATGTTGCTGTCATTGCCAAAACCAAGCAAATACACAAATAGTGATAAAAGATAAATATTAAAATGTCGCTACCCAAATTGCCTTCTTTCTTTTTCAGTTACTGTTTCTGAAAGAGGATTTGGACAGAACCAGACATATCCAATGACCTGACACTTAAGAATAGAACCCAGTTTTACAAAAACTGCAAGTCATCTGTTTAATATTCTGGAAGACCACTTTGAACATTTTATAGTAGATACAGTAGTTTATATCATATAAGCCTCTTCTGTAGCATTTTCTGTATGGCATTAGTTAAAATCAGACTGCAAAATATTAAAATACCAAACATATGAGGCAATTTGATAGGGCTAAATATATGTGTATTGGTATGCAGTCATCTGGTTGACTAATAATACATTGATTAATGTGTATCTCTATGTAGCCTCTTTGTGACTGATTTTCTCTATAGTAACTTTGAGAACTATTAGAATACGCTAATGTAAAAAATAATGTGCCACAGACAGTTGTGTGAGGCAAAATTAACACCGGGTATATTCTCCATATAGATATGTACGCCCCTATTAATTTTTATAATGTTTCAGGGTGTTAAAGAAACAAGAGCCTAAGAGAGTCAGGGTGACAACATTTTAAAATCAACTCTGTCTTGAGGTTAACAAGGCACCATCCTAAAAAACAGCCTCAAGATATCTACAAGAACACACCACTGCAGCAGGAGAGTCTGGGTGTCCCAATTCTCATAAGAGTATATATTTTTATCACGGTAACAGTTATGCACACACTAAAATGTCAAGGATAGTTTTCTTTAAATCAACAGAATGATAAATTGTGTCTTGCTGTCAGCCTACCCACATGTAGTCACAGCTTAGTTTAGTCTGTATGTAGGTAAGACTAGTATATTTTTTAAAAACTTAAAAAGGGCACATTCTGCCACTTGCTTTCTGAGAACACCCTACTCTGTAATGGAGTAGGCTTTAATAAACTAACTCTCTGGAGTCGCGTTTAATAAACTATCGCTTTTCACTGCACTTTGCAGCTTATCTTGAAGTCTTTCCTGTGTAGATCCAAGAAGCCTCTCCTGGGGTCTGTACCAACACTCCTTTTTCCAGCAACAAAGTCATTTATGCATATGCAGATGTCAGTTGATAGACCCTATTGAGTCCTACTAAATTAGTCCTAAGTCAGAGATAGTGCACTAGGAAACATATGTAGAATGCAATTAAATTATTTTGATGATAGAAATGGATCGATAGACTTGAAAACTAAAAAAAAAAAGTGTTGAGAGTTGATTTTCAGAATTGAGGAGCATAACCAGTATTATGCATGGACAAAAAAGAAATTTTTCAAGATGTTTACAATGTTAGAATACTTGCAGAAAATTTAACATACAGGTGATTCATATACTTACATTTTTTGCACAATAATTACAATAAGTTCACAGGCTTTAGAGCTATTGTTCAAGACACTGCATTGAAGTAGAAATAATTTCTTTTTTCTTTTTTTTTTTTTTTTTTTGGAGATGAAGTTTTTTTCTTGTTGCCCAGGCTGGAGTGCAATGGTGCAATTTCGACTCACTAACCTCCTCCTCCCAAGTTCAAGCTATTCTCCTGCCTCAGCCTCCTGAGTAGTTGGGATTACACGCATGTGCCACCACACCCGGCTAATTTTGTAACTTTAGTAGAAACGAGGTTTCATCATGTTAGGCAGACTGGTCTTGAATGTCTGACCTCAGGTGACCCAACCACCTCGGCCTCCCAAAGTGCTGGGATTGCAGGTTTGAGCCACCATGCCTGGCCTCATTTTTTAAAAAATGTAAAATTATCCACCCTATCTTGAACTTTGCTATGGCTCAAAAACCATAATATTCAAAGGAGATGGATTGTCAGAGTTTCTCTCACGCTAAATTACTTAAAAAGTTACCCTCAAGGAAGTAAACACAATATTATCGTACAGAATTATTAGACACCAAATAATTTACATTCACAGAATCTCTGGCAAAACATTTTCAATTTCAACATTAATGCTTTTATTTTTAAAAACAATATTCAAAGTTTTAATTTTGAGAAGAAACTAAAGCAGTTACTAACAGTCCATAATGTTAAACAAATCATGACTACACTAGGGTTTTCCATTTCAAACAGTCAGTTTCTTACCCCCCAGGCACTTAGGGATTGCAAATAAACAGACACCTAAACTGCAATTTTACGAAAGCATTTTCCCTAATCGTTTGTTGCATGGCAAGGATTACATCTTTGTTCCGTAGGCTGTAGATCAATGGGTTCAGCATTGGGCTCAAAAAACTATAGAAGACCGCAATTATTTTGGATTCCTCTACGAACTTGTCTGATGGAGGCCTTAAGTACATGCAGAAGAGTGTTCCATAAAACAAAGTCACTATTGTCAGGTGGGAAGCTCATGTAGAAAAGGCTTTGTGCCTGCCTTCAGCAGAACGGATCCTCAAGATCGCTGCAAAAATGAACAGATAGGACAGAAGAATGATGAAGAGAGAGCTTGACAGAGTAAAGCCTGCAACTACAAACATCGCCGTCTTTTTGACATGGGTGTCAGAGCAGGCCAGCATTATAAGGGGAGGATCAGCGCAGTAGAAATGATTAATTTCACGGGAGCCACAGAAGGACAAGTGAAAGGTCAGCAGTGTCTGAGAGAGCCCATTAAGGAAGCCACACATGTAAGCCACAGTGACCAGAGAGATGCAGATATTCTTGGACATCCTGGAACTGTAATGCAAAGGACTGCAAATGGCTACATAGCGGTCCAATGCCATTGAAGCAAGGATGTAAAACTCAGTGATCACCAGGGCGATGAAGAGAAGGCACTGTGTGAAGCACCCAGCATAGGAGATGGTCTTCTGTTCTGAGAGGAAATTGTGCAGCATATTCGGAGTAATATTGGAAGAATAGCAAATGTCCACAAAGGAGAGGTGGCCGAGGAAGAAATACATGGGGGTTTGCAGGTGGGAATTGGTCCTGATCAGCAGGATGATGCCCAGGTTTCCTGCCAGTGTGATTAGGTAGATCACCAGGAACACCCCAAACAGGATCTGCTCTAGCACTGGGTCATCTGTCAGTCCCAAGAGGATGAACTCTGTCACTATGGTGTGGTTTGGGGAGAACATCTTCATATCTTTTGAAAACAGAAAGTGACAAAGAATGTGATGATTTCTGTCTGATTCAGATTCAGCATTTGTTCTATCCATTTATCATTCACTTATTTGTCTATTCATTTAGGCTACAATTACTTTTCTCTTTTGAATAAACACATCAGAATTTCTGCATAACATTTTTTCCCTATGTCTATGTCTTCTGTCTCTTTCTTTCCATATCTCAAACCCACACACTTAGACACAGACACTTTCTCTCTCTCTTATACATACATACATACATATATACATTGTCTTATACATACACATATACATTTACACATTAATATATTTATACTTGTCTTCTTTGTGAACTCCACATTTGGTAATTCTTTTCAAGTTTTCTGAGGAAAGAAAAAAACAAAGCAATAAATATCAGATATCAATATTTGCATCAAATAACTAAATAAAAGAGGTCCAATCTCCAGTTTATCTCCAAGTCTGATATCCTATTGTTTTGGATACAAAATAGAGGGAAAAAATAGGGTAGCATTTTCATCTAAAACCCATGATTGTCTGGTTTAACTTCACTCGGTGAACATTAAATTTGTGAAATTTATTGCTTGATATATGGCTAAGAAAATACAGACCATTGGTTTCTTTCGCTTTGAAATTTATCTGCCTGTTTATTCATGTACAAAGCATAGCTTGATTTTTTGTGTGTGTTCCAATTCCTGGGGTTATTGGCGTGAACAAATTTTCCAGTTTCATGGAGCTCATATTATAATATGGAAATAAAAATTAAACCAAGAAAGAAAGATACCTTTATAATTTCAAGTAAGAGCTGGTTCTATGAAGAAAATTGAAAGTGGAGAAGGAAAGAAAAGCACACTGCCATGTGTGTTCCTACGCAACTGTCTTGCATGCTCTGCTCATGTACCCCAAAACCTAAAATCCAATAAAAAATTAAAAAACAAAAAAAAAGATTATTTTAGATAACCATTCAAAGGAGACATTTCTGTGAATGCAACGTTTAAAAAGTAAATAAACAGTTATAGCACCTGAGCAAGAAAGCGAGATTTTTTTGGTCCTCATTTATATGTCACATATGGATTTATGCTGGAACTGGTCTGCCCTACTGAAAATCATTAAACTACTCATTAAAATACTTTTAAGGAATCACAGAAAATGGTTAAAAGCAGTCTTTGCTTACAACTCAAGCTGCTCTCTCTTAGTTCTTAGTGAAAATAAGCTATGACTGTAAAAATTATTGTTGAAAAATTTGTACTTTAAAGCCATCGTTTATTTAGTTCTCACATACACATCAAGGAGCTTGCATAGATTTTAGAGTCAGTGAAATATTAACATATGAATAGAAGAATCTGGTGAAATTGCTGAAAATATTTGTTTCCTCCATTGATTGGATACTGATCTCCACACACACACAAACACACACATACACACACACACACACACACACACACACACACACGAAGTTGTATTTTCAGTGAACAAATGTAGAAAATGACCTACCTGTTAATGTTAACTCACTATACTTTATAAAAGCAAAGTGGCAAGATTTATAATACATTTTTAGCTATATTCTCTAGAGTATTTTAAAACTAATTCTGAAGAAACAATTAAAATATTTTTTGTTCCTCAAGGGCATTATATTAGTTTGGTGCCTTGAACAGATAGATTCTCCTTTGAGGATGAAATCCCTATGTAATATTTATGTAGTTTTGGTACATGTGTTCATAAGAGCTTTAACACAAACAGAGAAACTAGCCATCACTTTCAATAATTTGGAAGAAAGAAAATATAGGCAGATAAGTTTTGCATTTTTAGCATAATAAAAACAGGAAGATTTCCATCAAAACTCTTCAGGTTTTGGATATAAACACTGGGGTGAGGCGATCTACTGAGGGTGAGGGGTAGAAAGATGTGGCAGGTGAAAGATTTGAGGAAAGGAAGGGTTTTTAAGGATGAAGAGCAGAAGAGCGACAACATAATCAGTAGAAGGAAGCAGAAAGATTGGTCAGGGCCCAGGGTCCTTTGGAGGATGGACATTATGGATTTATGCTGGAACTGGTCTGCCCTCCTGAAAATCATTAAGGTTCTGAGAATCAAAGACAGGTCTGAGAACCAGGACCATGTATAAAATTGATGATTCATAAAATTGTTGATTTAGAAAAAGGTTTGAAAATAGAAGAAAAAATATTTTAAAATTGTTTACACCACATTTGTTAGATGATAAAGGAAGCTACAGATGCTTTCATTAGTCTGTATTTTCCAGTGCACAGATAGTCCCAGGTTAGCACAAATGAATCAAAGTGGACTCTGGCCAAGACAGAAGAGGGATCCCTAATTCTCTTAAATTGCAGGTGGTGGTTATTCATTGAGAAATCAGTCAATACAATATAGCTATATGTCAAAATCAAAACGTAGATTTGTTATACATGAAATTTGAGAATACTAGAGCATTGCTATTTTTTCCTCAAATTGAGTTTAAAGCCTTATCTCAGTTTTTATCTGTATGGTTTTGATTCCTTGCATTAATTTAAAAATAAAATAGGATTTCTTAAATGTTTCTATAGAATTAAGGTTTATGTAGGACTATAATACTGGTGTCTCTCATTTCCTCATTCCTTAACGCATAAAACTAATTGACAATTTGGCCCTTTGTTAAGCACTTTGAAGGCAATATGTCCTACAGTGCATGTGTATGTATATGTGTGTTCATTTATTTGTTTTCTTATGCATGTTAATATACAGTAACATTTCAATAAAACATAAGATTTACAAAATGGCTTTTCTGACAACAAATAGGGCTGGCTCAATAGTAACTGAATGGATAGACAAAAAGTAATGGATTGGTTATTTTTGATGAGGAAGAATAAAGTCTCAAAAATTTTCCTATGGGATCACATAATCGTATGTCCACACATTAGAAGGCAATGGTAATTTATTTATAGATTTGATTAGAGAATACATGCTTTAGCTATGTGTATTATACTGACCCAAAGATGAGTTTTATACATGCTTATTTTATTTTTCATAGAAAGCCTTCAGAAGATTCTAGCTATATTACTGAATAGTAATATAGTTTTATATTAATAATTCTAGTGTTATCAAGATGACATGAAGATTTATTATAAAATCTCTTTTAAAACATACAAATGAAAAATTAAGTATATATTCTGAATGATGATATGATTACAATTACAAATTGAATACACAAAAACCACTCATACAGTCTGGGTGGGGTGGCTCACGCCTGTAATCTAAGCACTTTGGGAGGCCAAGGTGGGCAGATTATTTGAGGTTGGGAGTTCAAGACCAGCCTAACATAGCACAACCTCATTTCTACTAAAAATACAAAAATTAGCCAGGTGTGGTGTCAAGGTCTGCAGCCCCAGCTAATCGGGAGGCTGAAGCAGGAGAATACCTTGAACCAGGGAGGCAGGCATTGCAGTGAGCCAAAATCGCACCCTTCACTCTAGTCTGGGTGACAGACTACAGTGTTGTCTCAACAACAACAACAACAACAACAAAACCCCACTCATCTGGTTACAAAACAGCAATACACAAGTGAAATATAAAAATTAAAATATCACTAATAACATAAAAGCATAAGCTACTCAGAAACCAATACAATAGAAAATGTTCAAAAGATACACTGAAAAGCACAAATATCTACAGAGAAAAATTAAAGAAGACCAAAATAATAAAGACATACATCTCACTTGTGCATTGGAATGTTCAATATGGCAAACTGGTTAATTCTTCATAAATCCATCAATAATTTGAATGGCACTTCTATCAAATTTCAGCAGGCTGATATTTGTGAAACTTGATGATCTGATTCTAAAATAAATTCCGTTATTAAAAAAATGAAAACCCCCTTTGAAAGTGAACAAATACTGTTCCATGACTTGCACTACCTAAATGTACAGGGCCACTAGGAAGTGTCCAATGATCTGAACATTGGAGTCGTTACATAACTAATTCATTAGATGCACTTCTAGCAGCTGTCAATCGATTGATCATGGCAACTGAAGTAAAATGATATTAACTAAACAGTAATGCCTTCAAATAAGTTGAAGAGAGGTTTCTGAAGGCTTTGCTGAAAAAATAAAGTGTGTGAAAAGTTCTCCCTTAAGTTACTATTATCCACTTAAGAGTTACTAAGAAGTGTAACATTCAGAGCAATGTGTGGATTTAAGGATGATAAAGAGATTAATGGTACAGAACAGAGAGTCCAGAAATAGATCCACTAGTATATGTAGTGAGTGGGTTTCTAAACAAATGTACAAGGGCATTTTAATGGAGATTGCTACTGAAAAATGTAGATATGCTCATCAAAATATTTAACTTAAGCTCCTATAACACACCACATGCCAAAACTCAAAATTAATTTGGTGGAAATAATGCTGCTAAACGTAAATCCTAAATCTACAAGTCCTCCAGAAAAAAAAAATCAAAGAATATCTTTATGTTCTTAAGGACAGCAAAGATTTCTTAGGAAGAAAAGAAAAGCACAAATTGTGAAGAAAAATATATATATATAGTGTGTGTGTCATCAAATTTTAAAACATGCATTCTTCAAAATAATGCTAAGATAATGAAAAAGCAAATGATAGACTAGGAAGACCACTCACAGTAACTAATTCTGGCAAATGACCAGTACTCAGAACATATAAACATCCCCACAATTCACTGATCCAAACACAAGCAGTGCAGTTAAAAAAAAAGAAAGTTTAAGTTGTGAGCAGACATCTCATAAAAGAAGACACATGAACAGCAAACCACATGAGAAGAAATTCTATGTAAAGAAGAATGTGAAGAAGAAAATGTAAATTTTGCCTATAATTAAACACCATGAACGAAGATTTCCTCCTGGACAAAACTCTGGAAAGAATCCTCTGAGCACTTTCTTCACTAGGCCTCAACCTTGGCCTAAAAAGACTTGAACAAAACGTGAACACAGTGGGTAACAGCTCAAGGCCACAACCCTAGGATGACTTTAGTCCCACTCAAAGTACCCACCTTAGAAAACTCAAGGCTGCCAAGAAAATGTACTGTCTGCTTCTGTCA